GTTGCAAGTATATATACTTGAAAAACAATAGCACCCTTCGGGCAAAATGTTTCTTACTTACGTATATTCATCTGTTTTTCCGCTAGTTTCTCGATTTTACGTTTCAGTTCCGACGTCATTTCTTTTTGTGGATCTTTATTAGATACCATGATTTATGACGAAGATAGTAGATCAAAAAACCAACACAAATTTAAGTATCAAAACATGTTTCGCTTTATTCAGCTTCCTCTGTTGATACATAATACTTTATTTTCTGAATTTTATATACATGTACAAGTATTATAAAGAATTTTGATAGCTATTAATATTGCGAACAACCGTTTATATACCGCCATATAACCTGTCGAATTTATTTATAACGAATTCATAATACATCAAGTATTTTTCTTTAGAAAAAGTGAGATAATTTCATAAATCGACGGCAGCCATGTATATACAAGTTTATCACATAAACCGCGGCGCAGGAGTGTAATAAAGCCATTTAATAAAAATGATATTACACTAGAAAATATTACACTAGTGTAATAACACTTTGACGTTACGTCATTTGCACTATAAACATAGCGTTAAAGCGCGCTAATATTAGCGTTACACTATAGGCTCGTCAAAGAAAAATGACTTTTGTTAACAGTTTACCGTTCTTATTTTATATATGTGATAAATAGAATATTATATTCGTGTAGATTCAATACTAAATTTATTGAACTCGTTGAATAAAACAATATTATGCTCGCCAGAGGCTCACATAATATGATTTTATTCAACTCGTTCAATAAATTTAGTATTAAACCTACACTCATTCAATATTCTCTATACATTGGATATGAACGTCACGATTATCAAATGAAAAATGACGTAACAAACGTGCAGTATTATAAACACACATACGCAAAATTAAGGAAGTCCAATATAATTATATTCTTTAAATTTGACATCATGCTAGAATATGATAACATTAACATTTTCAGCGAAAAAAAACTTAGGGGTCACAGATCTCATTTTCTGTACGTAAATTTGTTTTTTTCCTTATCTGGGGTTATTTCAGGGACAGATAACTTAAATATACGCCTGAAAATCTTTTTTTTTCCGTTTGTTATGTTCTTCATTATATGTGTGTACATTTTTAAAGAAAGACTTAATTTCATAACATATATCTGTTACCTTTTTTTTTAATTTCATTTCGTACTTAAAATTCTTTAAAAATATACCTTATTTGAAACCATTTTTCTTCGATAACTGTCATAATTTAAGAAAAAGAAGAAAAACTAAAGCTATATAACGCAAAAAGTAATTGGGAAAACTTTTCCTGAAATAAATCGTATACCCTGTAAAAATAAAATTTATATAAATTGGTGTTCTCAGTATATGATAGCATAACACAGTGACATTCAAAACTGAGATAATTCTTCGTTTTCAAGAAGTATGTGTGTTAATCTTTTCGCGTATCTCTTTTATATGTCTGTAAGACAAAAACATTATTGAACCTGAAACGTACGGTCTTTTTAAGTCCAAGGTTGAATGTGATTTATTTTATAATAATTTATATCGTTTTAAACATCAAATAAACACGTTTCCCAGATGTCTAAGTGATAAAACGGCTGTACTCGAATGAAAAGTGCATTACGTCAAGTTAAACCCTCAAAATATACAGATTGTATCGGGCCCACCGCACTGCGTTTCAATCGCATCCACCGCCGTCTGCACTGAAAAGAATTTGTCATTTATTTTATAAACAGGCAATAATAATTTCCCAAATTTCAAAATTATGGTTTATTTGTGAAAGTATCATTCATAAGATGTGATGCCGTTGTATTATGGGGTCGTTTTGCACACATTTGTACATGTTTTAACCAAAATTAGGCACAAGTGGCGTCCCCAGAAATGTTTGCATAAACGGCAATGATTTGCACCGTGTGCGTGTAATATGTTGAAAGAGTACATACGTGGGCTCCAGTCTCACTAAGTGTTTCCAGTAAAACATAATTCAGTCATATACTTACCGACAACAGCAATCGGCCATATTTCACCCACCGCTTCTGCGACGAATACTCCACCGCCGCTGCGATAGACCCACCGCTTCTGAGAAAGCTATGGCCAGTGTGTTTTATGTATGTTTTAATTAACTTGTATTATAGTTTTGAGTTTTTTCTTCATATTACATTCATTAAATTTGACGAACCTACGCCAGGAGTTGTAGCACTAATTCTACCCTGTGACACATTTTATTTTTTACATTATAAATCATAATATCAAGAACAAGAGCTGTCACAGGAGACAGCGAAGCTCGACTAATAAAATACTGGACGAAGTAAGGAAGAAAAAACTATCAATTATGTATTAAGTTATAGTAAAAAAATAACATTTGTTAACATAAATTCCAAGTTCAAGGGGGAATAATTCTGAAAATAGCTAGAGTTACGAACCTTGTCACACAACATGTGTGTAATGATAAGAAATTATATACTTGAAGTTTGAAGTAGATACCTTAAAAAGTAAAGAAGTTATAATATCTCTCAAAGAAAATTCTAAGTTCAAAGAGAGATAAATCTGAAATTTATGTTTCAAAAGTTATGAACCTTGTCACATAAGATGTAATTGGTGATAAGGAATAAGTATTTGAAGTTTGAGGTAGACACCTTTAAAACTGAAGAAGTTATAGTAATAAATAACATATTTCAAGTAAAAAAAATCTAAGTTTATGGGGAGATAATTCTTGCAAAATTAGAACCAGAGTTATGAACCTTGTCACATAACATGTGGTTAATGATAAGGAGCATAAATTTGAAGTATGAAGTTGATCCCTTAAGAAATAAATAAGTAACAGTTAAAAATAGTATTTTTAAGGAAAATTCTAAGTTCAAGTGGAGATAAATAAACAAATATTGATGCTAGAGTTATGAACCTTGTCACATAAGATATAGTTGATGGTAAGGAACATATATTTGAAGTATGAAGTGGGTCCCTTAAGAAACAAATAAATAACAGTAACAAATAATATTTTTAAGGAAAATTCTAATTTCAAGGGAGATAAATCTAAAAATATTGGTGCTAGAGTTATGAACCTTGTCACATAAGATGTAGTTAATGGTAAGGAACATATATTTGAAGTATGAAGTTGATCCCTTACGAAATAAATAAGTAACAGTAAAAAAATAATATTTTTTTAAGGAAAATTCTAAGTTCAAGGGGAGATAAATCTAAAAATATTGGTGCTAGAGTTATGAACCTTTTCACATAAGATGAAGTTGATGATAAGGAACATATAATTGAAGTTGATGCCTAAAGAAATGAAAAAGTTATAGTGAAATTATTTTACTGCACCAAAACTTTAATCTGAAATCAGGATGCGGACGCCGACGCCGGGGCGAGTAGGACAGCTCTCCATATACTTTGTATAGTCGAGCTTAAAATTACCAGAAAAACAACTCCGAAAAATATAAGTTCAATCCGGTATCTTCTTTCTGCCACAGATAGGACTTTTACTGTAAGTGCAAAGGATATTACTTAAAAGTTTGTTTTTATTTGTTGGTCAAATAAAACGATTTTTTGCATATATTATTATTTAAACATTATAAATTTATAATGTCAAGAAAAAATACCAAAAAGAAAAAAAAAACTCTGAAAAAAATAAGTCCAATCCAGTATTTTCTTTCTCCCATGGATAGGACTTTTACTGTAAGTGCAAAGGGTGGTGAAAGGATATTACTTAAAGTTTTTATTTGTGGGTCAAATTTAACCAGTTTTGCATAGATTTATATAATTATTTAAACAATATAAATTATAATATCAAGATTTTTTTTTTAAAAACCCTGAAAAATATAGGTCTAATCCGGTATTTAAAGTCACATCCGCGGATTTGAGTCACATCCGGTATTAAGTCATACCCTTTCCATGGCTTTGCATGTTCTGCTTCAGATTTAAAGCGACTGTAATTTTTAATGTGCTCTATTTCCACTTTTGAGGGAGGTCAGTGCAGATTTAACTCAACTTTTCAAGCAATTAGTGGTTAAAAAAATGAAGCTACTGTCATGACGCTCTCCTTGGCGTTGGTTCACATTTAAAGTCCATTTTCTCAGAAAAAATAAGTTATTCAATTCAAAAATAAAGTAAACATGTCTATTGTAACAAGAGGGCCATGATGGCCCTGTCGCTCACCAGAAACAACTGCTTTTCAGTGTTGAAAATTATCCATTGTAAAAATTTTCTGATATTAAATTTGAGCCAATCAAAAGACTACCTAATAATGCTACAAAGTTTGGTGATTATCTATCAATTAATTCAGTAGGAAATGATGTTCAAAGTTTTTTCTATTTTTGGCTTTAATGGCCCCTAAAAGGGGCCAATCAAATTATTATGAGCAAATTTGATAAAAACGTACCTAAGAATGCTACAAAGTTTGGTGATCATCCATCAATTAGTTCTGTAGAAATAGACGTTTAAAGGTTTTACTATTTTTAGCTTTAGCGGCCCCTAAAAGGGGCCAATCAAATTAATATGATCAAACTTGATAAAAGACTACATAAGAATGCTACAGACAAAATTTGGTGATCATTCATCCATTAGTTCTATAGAAAAAGACGTTTAAAGGTTTTTCTATTTTTAGCTCTGTTGACCCCTAAAAGGGGCCAATTGAAATGACATGAGCAAATTCAAGTGTGACTGTCACAAGGATGCTACAGACCAAATTTGAAGTAAATCTGCACAGCAGTTTCAAAGAAGAAGATGATTGTTGACGCATGATGACGGATGATGGACGCCGGAGTACCCCCTTTGATACTTTTAGCTCACCCTGAGATTATCCTTTTTTTCAAAATTATGCCCCTTTTTGACATTTTTTTGTTTGTTTCGCTATGGTCAATTTCTCAAAGACTGACAAAGTTTATCATTTCAATCTTGGAATACTTGTTCAATTTCAAAATTAAAATACATTTCTAAAGGGCAGGGAATCTTATAATTTATATTTGCTCAGTTTCTTTATGTGAAAAACAAACTTTCATTCATTTATTTAAATATAACTTTATTATACATTCATATAAATAACAAATATATATTGCACAATTTTATACATAAATTATCTAACATTAATAGTCATTCATTTCTACATATATCAATTTCACATATTACCATCACATGAAATAACTCTCAATTGAATAAGCAAAAATGAAATTTGTTTGTTACAGGTTTTCAAAATATAACTGTAGCACATTAATGCTGAAACAGAAAAACATACTCAGACACAAAATTTACCACTTTCACTGCATAACAGGACTACAACAATAGAAAACTAAACACACATGTGTTTAGATATACTGAAATGTTATGGGCTCTTATTGCTGTAAGTTCCAAGCCTGATATTAGATTTTCTTTATCTGAAGCATATTCTCAAAAAAAACACAAAAAAAACAGCAAATAACTATTGAAAAACACAACATAACCAAAGGTTCTTTCAAAAGCAATGCACCCTTGGCTGGCATATTACCAAACAATTGAAAATAAATATTCTGTTATTACAGATAACAGTTACTTGAAGGTATTCAAGTATCAAAATTAATCAAATTTATATTAACTAATAGCAAAGTCTCACAAGATGTTTAGTGGGTCTCAATACTGGTAGCATAGTAAAGTTACTCCTACAGCTCAGAGACTAAAAGCACTTTTTTCAAATAAAACTGAAAGCTATAGTATTATCTTCGTCCACCAGCTAGTTGCTGTTTGTAGCCTTTAATTTGGTCCTCTATTGCACGGTCAGCCAGAGTACACTTCCTCAATACTTTGTTCAAGTCATCCTCGTTCCTATTCTCAAATGCAGCTTCTGCAGCTTGTTTAAGATCACTGAAATACAAGTTACACAATATTACCTCAAAACACAAGTACAAGTATATTATAATTTATAAATGTATTTGAAAGGTTATATGGCCCTACATTAACGGTTGTTTGGAAATATAACCCGAGCCGCTAGGCGAGGGTTATACTGCAAACAACCATTTATATTCCGTCATATAAACTGTCAGGAATATTTATAACGAATTTATAATGCAGTAACTTCCTTTTTTGAGAAAAAAATGAGATTACTTAGAAAACTGGAAGCAGCCGTGCATAAAAAACTATATAAACGTCATGATTATCCAATGAAAAGTGACGTTACAAACGTGCAGTATTATAAAGCACTTTAAACAGTTTACCCCTACCCTTCTGAAACTGGAGTTTTAAATTTATTAATTTATTCAAATTAACAAAGTCATACTATGTTTATATAATAAATGTTTTACAACAATTAGTTTGTTAAGAATGAAGTACAGAGGTATTTTTCCCAACCATATTCAAACATAAATACGTATAAATTATTTATTACAAGTATGGTGCAAACTTTTTTACAATGTGACAAGGAAACATAATGGTAACTAATTAACTTGTGTTTCCCTATTCAGTTTAAGTATTAAGTATATAACCAAAGTTTCAAAGAATCATCTAAAACAGGCATTCAAAGAGAAAATGTCCTGAGCAAAGGACATAGTTTTATAGATTTTATGTTGTAAATTCAAAAGTAAATTCCTCATTGTGTAACCAAGTCTTTGAATTCAAACTCAATCACAAATCATTATCTCTCATTTTAAACAACACCAATATAACTTACCAAAGTTCATATTCACTTATACAAAACTTACCCCATCTGAATGAGACACTGAACTTTCTTATCTGGTAGTACTCTTGGAATGTATTTCATTGCTTCCCTTTTATTTCCATGCTTTAAACATGCTTCCACAAAAGCCTGTAAAATGTTAACATAAACTGAACCACAATCATTAAGGTACTTGATTAAAGCACATTGAAAATCATATCGACTTTTTTTTACTTTATCCATATATTCATGTATATGTAATGACTAGACATTCTATGGCAAAAATCTTTCAAGATACCAATTAAGGTTATGAAAACAAAATTATTTTAATTTTGTTTTATTGTTTTTTTTTTTTTTTTTTTTTTTTCTGAAATATTTCATCAGACATAGCTTGATGCACTTTAATATGATCTCTCCATAATTCTTTTCCTGAAGGAAACCATAACTAAAACAATATGACAGAAGAGACCAAATCTCTATTCAAATTCTGAATGCAAAGTACATGGCTTACTGATTTCCTTTATTAAACACATTGATATAGTTTGCAGTAAAAAAAACAAGCGGGCCATGATGGCCCTGAGGTCGCTCACCTGTATATAGCCCCCCCCCCGCCCCCCCGGGCCAATTTTTACCCAAAAAGGGCTTTTATTTGTTTATTTGAACAGACTTGGTGGACACCAATAAGAAGATGTTTCATGCTAAACATCTGAGTTCTAGCTCATTGGGTTTTTTAAAAGAAGCTTTTTAAAGTTTTTACTATACACATATAGTTAAAAACAATGACACCCCTGGGGCAGGGCCAGTTTTGAACCCCCGGGCTTTTATTTGAACAAAACTTTGTAGATATTTACTTAAAGATGTTTCGTGCTTAAAATCTAAACTCTAGCTATTTTTGGGTTTTTTCAAAGAAGATTTTTTAAGTTTTTGCTATACACATATAAGGAAAATCAATGACCCCCCGGGCGGGGCCAGTTTTGACCCCAGGGCTTTTATTTGAACATACTTGGTAGACACCCATTAGAACATGTTTCATGCTAAATATCTTAGCTCTAGCTCTTTGAGTTCTTTTAAAGAAGATTTTTTAAGTTTTTACTATATGCATATACAATATGCATATAGGGAAAATCAATGACCCCCTGGGACGGGGCCAATTTTGACCCCAGGGCTTTTATTTGAACAAACTTGGTAGACACTCATTAGCAGATGTTTCATGCTAAATATCTTAGCTCTAGCTCTTTGGGTTCTTTAAAAGAAGATTTTTTAAGTTTTTTTCTATATGCATATAGGGAAAATCAATGACCCCCTGGGGCGGGGTCAATTTTGACCCCAGGGCTTTTATTTGAACAAACTTTGTAGACATTCACTAGAAGATGTTTCATGCCAAATATCTAAGCTCTAGCTCTCATGGTTCTTTAAAAGAAGATTTTTTAAGTTTTTACCTATATGCATATAGGGAAAATCAATGACCCCTCGGGGCGGGGCCAATTTTGACCCAAGGGCTTTAATTTGAACAAACTTGATAGACACTCACTAGAAGATGTTTCATGCTTAATATCTTAGCTCTAGCTTTTTGGGTTCTTTAAAAGAAGATTTTTTAAGTTTTTACTATATGCATATAGGGAAAATCAATGACCCCCTGGGGTGGGGTCAATTTTGACCCCAGGGCTTTTATTTGAACAAACTTTGTAGACATTCACTAGAAGATGTTTCATGCCAAATATCTAAGCTCTAGCTCTTACGGTTCTTTAAAAGAAGATTTTTTAAGTTTTTACTATATCAGTATATGCATATAGGGAAAAAATCAATGACCCCCCGGGGCGGGGCCAATTTTGACCCCAGGGCTTTTATTTGAACAAACTTGGTAGACACTCACTAGAAGATGTTTCATTCCAAACATCTTAGCTCTAGCTCTTTGGGTTCTTTAAAAGAAGATTTTTTAAGTTTTTACTATATGCATATAGGGAAAAATCAATGACCCCCTGGGGTGGGGCCAATTTTGACCCCAGGGCTTTTATTTGAACAAACTTGGTAGACACTCACTAGAAGATGTTTCATGCCAAATATCTAAGCTCTAGCTCTTATGGTTGTTTAAAAGAAGATATTTAAAGATTTTTCTTTCGGTTGCCATGGCAACCAGAGTTCTGCATGGAATTAAATTCTTTGAACAATTTTTAAAGGTGACCACCAAAGGAACATTCCTGTGAAGTTTGGATGAAATTGTCTCAGTGGTTTATGAGGAGATGTCATTTAAAGCAAAAGTTTACGGACGGACGACGGACGGATGGACGCCGGACGAAAAGCGATCACATAAGCTCACCCTGTCACTTTGTGACAGGTGAGCTAAAAACATTTATGACAGTGTAGCAATAAGGTGTATACTCAGATAAGATGAGCCGCGTCACGACAAAACCAACATAATGGGTTTGCGACCAGCATGGATCCAGACCAGCCTGCACATCCGCGCGGTCTGATAAGGATCCATGCTGTTCACTTACCAACTCTATTACAAGTAGAGAAACTGATAGCGAACAGCATGGATCCTGATCAGACTGCGCGGATGCGCAGACTGGTCTGGATCCATGCTGGTCGCAAACCCACTATGTTGGTTTTGTCGTGACCCGGCTCAGATATGTGTCAAATGTGTCACAAGTGTCCAAAATTGATGTTACAAACCTGCAACAGTATACAAGTATCAACCTGATGTAGGCAAAACAGATCATTCCTTCAAAAATAACTTTATCATTTATTAACAATGTGCAATTAGCTGTAACCCATTACACAAAGTCATGAAAGAGATATTCTATAAAGATTTTTCTAACCTCCATTCCTAATTGAGGTTTCTTTGTCTTAGAAAACTTGTCTAGTTCCATCCACTCTCCAGCCTCAGCAAGAGCATCTATTCTCAACCACCAATACCTGAAAATACCACAAACTTCTTATGTAGACAATACTCATGCATAGATGGCACTTGTTTATTTGATTTCAATTAGAAGCCTTAAAAGCATTGTTTTTCTTATCTCTATACTGTAGAAATGGTTTTATTCCAGATAGATTTATGTTCACCAATATTCAAGGAGCAATGTCTTCGCCAATTCATATTTATTATGAAACCCAAAATTGAAAATATCTTATATCATCTAGCAATACTTTTTATTTTGATTATGATAATGACCTAAATTCATAAAATGATAAATACCTCAATAAAAAAAAAAAACTTCCCGGTCAAAAAAAATTAAATTTTGACAATGATTGACTATTAACTACCAGCATTATTCAGGGTGTACATAGAAAATGTTTATGCTGCTTTCCAACAGACATAAAATGTTTTACCTTTTGTCTGGAATCTTGAACTCTTTACGAATCTGGTCTGCCATCTTATGACTATTATCCACTATAAGTTTATGGACCGTCTGATGTACAGAAAGATCCATGTATGGTCTGCGTAGCTCTTCCTCCAGTCGTCGTTGATATTTGAGTAATTTTATCTCGTCTTCAACTTGCTACATATATAAAATCATTTTATGAAATTTTATGTTCTTGAAAAATCCTACTATACTGATGATTTTACCTAGATACAAATAAATATTGCACCAATTACAGGCAGTCTGATATTGCTTTATACCATTTAACAATAGATGTTATCCGGAACTTGACAAATGTGGGTTTTTCCAAGCTAATCCCCCAGTACAAACAACCTTTTACAATTATAGCCTCATGGTGCACTACCTGTCATAATAGATTAGTCAACCTGTTGCGCTTATTTTCAAAGCTGTAACTGTAAAAGTTTGTTTGTACCCCTCAGATTAGCTACAGTCATGAAAAAGTATGAATTTAAACTATAGATATCATAATATCATATCTAAAGATTTCACGCACTTATAGCAGAATCAATCTTCATAACTTTTTCTTTCCAGATTTGGTTTTTAAAACAGCACCTGACAAAAGGAAAATTCTAACAGCCTTATTTTTGTTCCTCATTCAAGCAGATAGGACTGTTGAGTGCATCATAACATGATATATGCATGGCATAAAAAAGGAACACTTACACATTGTTTGGCTTCGCACATGATGTCAATGTAGTTCAGTTTAATTTTATCAAGTCGCTTTTATAAGCATGTTAGAATGGGAAAAAGATATTTTTCTTGTGTTGTAGTAAAATAATGCATGGTTTATCTTTTTAAATGCTTAGTTAAACTTAAGCCTATTGAACTGTGCATTATTCTACAACAATGCACTAAAATTTGCTATCTATCTATTTCGTAAGTATCAAATTTGCTATCTATTTCCTAATTAAAAACAAAAATATATTCATCTAAAATATAAAGATACAGACCTTTGCTGCAAATTCATTCCTAGCTTTCATGTAACTTTCTTTGGCATTATTTAACACTTGGATACGGTCTTCTAATCTCTATGAATAAATATGCAGAAATAGCATGTCAGTTTAATGAAACAAATTTTCCTGATTGTTTTCTTTCTTCATTAGAAACTCCAATGCTGCAATATCACAGATGTGTAATACACCAGCCATACTCTCTATATCTAAATGGATTTTATAGACATTATTGAAATATGCACTCAAAAGTATTATTAATTTTACGTGAAACAATTCAAGTAAACAAAAGTATTAGGATTTTCATTTTTATCTGAGGCAACAGATGTGCTAACTAAAACAAAAGATTCGACACAAGGACATGGGGTATATTTTAATAGAAAGGCTAAAATGTGAAAATACCACAGATTTTAAAACCATTTTAACCAATGATTTACCAATCTGTTTATAATAAAAACCCTGAGTATTGAGTCTAGCCTGAATAAAATTATGATCATACAGCTTGGTATTTGAATACACCTGTAAATATTGCTGCAGGAAGTATAAAGATGGAAGCTTTACAAATCTTGACATAAAATAATGATCTACCTCTTGTTTAAAACTTTTCTGCACCTGACACATGGCCTCCTCCTGGAAATTATCTTCTTGGTAATATAGCTGCTCCATTAACTCAGAGTTCTGCTGTCTACAATACTGAAATATTTACAATAAAACAAGTTGTGTTATCTATAAAACTAATCATAACTGATGGTCAAAGTGTGGCAATTTTTCAGGCTTACATTAATAAGACAAGCACTATATTAATTATCTCTATTAGTGCTGGCAGCAACAGATTCTACCTATGTAGCCAGTGAATATCAAGAGGAGGTGGCGGATCTGTGCCATTCCATCATCTTCTTGAAGTTCTTCCCTGTTTACTATTCAATCAATATAAATTTTGAAATTTACCCATATAATTTTGAATGGTTTGGCTTTCTTTGAAAGATGGGTAACACTATTTACATTACAGCTTACATTACTATCAAACTTGATAAAAACTAGAAATGTGTCCATAGGACACGGATGCCCCCACTCGCCACTGTTCTGTCAATCTTATGACTCTAGGTCAAATATTTTTGGACTACATGTGCCACAAGTTGAAAACTAAAAATCAACAAAGGGCCATAATTCTGTTAAATTTGATCGCAGCAAAAATTCCTTCCTTTACTGCCATCTACACATTAAGGTTGTTCATCCCTGGAAGTTTAAGCAAAATCTGCCATCCGGTTTAAGAGAAGTTGCGTTCACAAAATTTCTACATAGTATATAGTGAAAAAATCAACAAAGGGCCATAATTCTGTTAAATTTGGTCGCAGCAAAAATTCCTTCCTTTACTACCATCTACACATTAAGGTCGTTCATCCCTGGAAGTTTAAGCAAAATCTGCCATCCGGTTTAAGAGGAGTTGCGTTCACAAAATTTCTACATAGTATATAGTGAAAAAAATCAACAAAGGGCCATAATTCTGTTAAATTTGGTCGCAGCAAAAATTCCTTCCTTTACTACCATCTACACATAAAGGTTGTTCATCCCTGGAAGTTTAAGCAAAATCTGCCATCCGGTTTAAGAGGAGTTGCGTTCACAAGATTTCGGGACGTACGGACGGACGGACGGAAGTTCTAACAGGAGAGTAATTATGTGGCTACTCTATTGTTCTCTCTATTGTTCTTTTTAGCCACACAAAAGAAAATAGCCACATAAAAGCATTACGGAATGAATGACATCAAAGAGAAAGAACAGTTACCTATTGTCCCTCTAGCCACATAATTACTCTCCTGTGAGTGCGGACGGACAGACGTATGGACGGAAGTTCTCACAGGACAGTAATTATGTGGCTACTCTATTGTTCTCTCTATTGTTCTTTTTAGCCACGCAAAAGAAAATAGCCACATAAAAGCATTACGGAATGAATGACATCAAAGAGAAAGAACAGTTACCTATTGTCCCTCTAGCCACATAATTACTCTCCTGTGAGTGCGGACGGACAGACGTACGGACACTCGGACGGACAAGTGCAACGCTATATGCTCCCACTCTATGGGGGCATAATAACTAACATATCATTAAAACATTTTTCAGTAAAAACTGAAATAACTTACTTGCAGAAAAAGTGATAGAGCTACTGGAATATTTCTAATTGCCATGAAAAATTCTCCTTGTGGCATAGTATCCTTAAGTCGCATTAGGACAAAATAAACTGAAAAATAAAGATATAATCTTCAATAACTATGTATATAGAACAGAGATGACCCAACATTCCACTGTTTTACAGTCTACAGTTGGATAAGGAAACATCTATAGCCTACTCCCTCCCAAGGTAGTGGGGGCATAAAAAGCTTTCATTTAGTCATCATATTAAGCCAAAGTCAACATACTGGATATAATTTTCACCTCTTTCTTATTACACAGCCTAGAACATCAATTATGTGCCAGATCCGTCTATAAATTAACATAGCAAGTAGATCAACACAGCCTGTACATCAACACAGCCTGTATATCAACACAGCCTGTACATTAACATAACCTGTACATCAACACAGCCTGTACATCAACACAGCCTGTACATCAACACAGCTTCTACATCAACACAGCCTGTACATCAACACAGCTACTGTACATTAACACAGCCTGTACATTAACATAACCTGTACATCAACACGGCCTGTACATCAACACAGCCTGTATATCAACACAGCCTGAACATTAACATAACCTGTACATCAACACAA